GGGGGGGGGGGTCGGCGGTAGGCGGGAATACCTGCCGTCGACAACCCCAAAACCCCCCCCAGAACCAACGGGAGGGGTGCGGCGAGAGGCCGTGTGTCCGCCTCTCGCCGCGCAAATGCCGACGACGGCGTAACTGGTGAGCGGCAGGCCCACGGGTACGTAACCCGCTCCTCCCCTTACCAGGTAAGGAGCGCATTAGCGCTAGCGCAGGGCGGCCCCCCGAAGAATGCCAAAATGCGATGCCAGGGGGTCGCCCTACTCGCGCGGTGAAGGACACACTCAGGGGTTTTTAGTGGGTATACCTTCTCCTCTCCTTTAGAGAGGGGAAGGGGAGTCCCACATACCCTCGGAGACCTCCCCGGGTCTCCGGGGAATGCGTAATGCATTTTCCCCTGAGTTATCAAAAAAAAAAAAATTAAATAAAACATTAGTAGTAATATGAAAAATAAAATAGGGGATATTTATCAAAATATTCTCACGAAATTCGTCTATGCACGCGTAGAGAGTCAGGCCTCTGTATCTTCTTTTTCTGTATCTTCTCGGCTTACCTGGGTTCAATTCTCATACTAGACGAAACAGATTTGAAAACAGATTAGAAAGAAAAGGAAGCATTTACTCAGCAAACACAATGTTATATGTAACGTACATGTTACTTGTAATTTTTTACTCAACAATGTAACTGTTACATAAGACACGTGTTATATAACGATTACATTGTACAGTAGAAAATTATATCTAACATATGCGTTATATGTAGCATTGTGTTTGCTGCAAATTTGCTTCAATGGAAACTTTCAACTTACATTTCACATTCTTAGGTGCTCGATTCCTCCATGTTGTCTTCTTCTTCTTTCTCGTCGTTCTACATGTTCTCGTTTGCCCTGTTCCTTGTAACTGTTGGACGTGAACCACGAATTCACTGGCGATATCTCTTTTTCGTTATACAAAGGGCCTCCCTCATCTGCTTCTAGAACTCCGATCTCATGGGTTTGTCGAAGTGGCGATTCCTGCAAATTGCATCTGGAAAACAGGCGCAATACGTGCGGAAAATAAGTATACCATTACGGTAAATTGTTTGTCACTAACACATCAAAGATGGTATCATTAATAGATAGAAATTCCTTACTATATATGGCTCGTGCCAGTCGAGTGTTATATAATGCTCGGCGTCCTTCCTCGCGGCCGAACCACGTAAAAGATGTGAAAGCATCGGACATTACTTCCTTCAGACACAATTGTGTAGCTTCCTTCAGATTGAAGCCACCAATATAATGTAAATAAGTTACCTGGAAAAAATGACATCTTAATATAATGCTTAAACAATTCGTTCTGATTACAGTAATTAATTCTGCTAAGAATAGTTGTAATCGTACTTACTATTTCCGAATAACATTGTTCATCCTGATTTTCAAATGCATTCATTTCTTCCAATGTTGTAATTGATAGTCCATGTGGCTTTGGTAAATAGCTCTGTTGGACACATTTTAGAATTTTCTGCTATGTTGCTTGAATTGTCCTGCAAGTAACAATGTGAAATATGCGCAGAATATCAAGCATAACGCATTATACAAACAAAATATGCAATACATACTTTATAATCAATTCCATATTACACAGTCTTTCTTTCATTCTGCTCAATTGTTCCTCTGCCTTGCTATAATTATACATAAATATTAATGTATACTTCCTACTTACACCGGTAAATTTTCTGCCATTCATTTAGCAGATCCCTATTTTCATTGTACCTTTTATTGGTTGTTTCTTTCTGCATGGGGGTCCTCTGTGCATGATGCATTGCTTGTCCCTCATGTCCACGTTGTTGTTGATTACCCACTCCTTGGATGACATTCTGCAACTCAGATAAAGTGTTATTAGTATAATACGTTTTATCATGATCTATACGTTGTCTAAAACTTTGCGTGTTATTGAGTGGCTCTGAGTATGGAGGATATTCCAAATTTGAGTATGTCTGTGCGTGTGTAGTATATCCTGTATGTGGCTGTATGTGTCCAGAGTAGTCAAAATTTATATATCTCTGCGTGACGTGTGACGTATTATTGTATTGTGCTTGTGTCGGTATATGTGAGGTATATGTTGTGACACAGTCAGTGTTAGTAAATGTTTGTATGTTTCTGCATGCTTCTGTATGTATGCGTGGTGTATTTGTTTCTGGTGATCCTTGTAAGGTGTTTCAAAGTATATTATTATCTTTTTCGATTGTCCTTGCGATGTCATTGATGTCATCCTCGACTATTCTAGGTATGAATGATGTCGCTGTCCTTCCTTTCCGCTTTGGTGATTCCTCTTCAGACGAAGTTGTTTGATGCCGTGCTGGTTTGGTAATATGCCGCTTTTGTCGATCCATCTATATATGTAAATACATCAATGATAACATGTTTTATATACTATGCGAACATATTAACATGCTCTGTTACTCTAACACTTAACATTAACGCAATCAAAGCTCTATACTTTATTCTCAGAAGCAGAGATGTGTTTGTGTGTGTACCATGTTGCTAAGAGATAGTGAAATGTCTATCTTCTACAGTTGCAAATCAAGTACTACATGTGGCACCTCTGTTTGGAAATAAATATTAATAAAA